GTTTACACATATCTAATATTGATATACATAATGCTTCTTGCTTTAATATTCCTGAATTTAGATATCACAAAAGACTTTCTTTTACAGGTTTATAAATTCAATTAAAAATGGTTGAAAATATTTTGTTTTTGGACTATTTTAAATTTAAACAACATAAAAATCCTCTTAGTCTGTATTTTATTTTATTTCTTTTTTAAACATGTGTTATTTTTATACTTTTAAGTTTATTTTCATTGTTATCATAGGGAGGCTTATTTTGCCCACTGGGCATCACTGTCTTTTGTGTAAAGAATAATGTGTTGTAATATAAAGAAATTATGATTTAGGAAATTCATGCTCTTTTAATGTTAAAAAAGCAAACAAAGCATTTAGCAAAACATTTTAAACAAACTACAAAATAATTTTTATTTAAATTAATTGGTTAAAATAATATAAAATTTCTACAATTTTTACTTTAAATTATATAGTAAATATATATTAATGGAATATTTATTGTAAAGGTTACCAAGATATAAGGTTTCTATGCTTTATTTGATGATAGATTAGCTTTATTTAAAGCATATTGTATCTTTATAAGAAAAACTATTAAATATATACTTTATTGAATATCCTTCTAATAAATTATCTTGTTTTTATTTAATCTCTCTTTAATTATACTACAATAATTTTATATTTTATTTTTAATTTAAATGTATAAATTTTAACATTTTTATTGCTTTATAATACAGTAGAGCATCGTTTATCCTAATCAATTGGGGACTGGGGTTGTTCAGATAACTTATTTTTTGGATAACCGATTATGTACGAAAAAATATATTAATTTATCCCGCATTGAAATTTTTCTCCGTTGCGTGTCGCTTCACGTTGAATTTTCGTCGATGTTAAGCCTAACGAAGACTATTGTATCGTTAAAAATTATTTTTTTATTTTGTACAAACAAAATAAATATATTGAAAAATATAAAAACAATAAAAAATTATACTTCAGAAGTTAATTTAGTATCAAAAACGTAAAATATTTGAGTAGCCCAAGACATAGCCAAAGATACAGCGCCACAGTACTGGCGAAAATTCAAATTAGTCGACTGGAATTCCTTCGGATAACCGACCTTCGGATAAACGACGCTCTACTGTA